TGCTCACTCATGTCATTTATTCATTGATTCATTAATTTAATAAATATTTATTAGGTGCCTTTTCTGACCCAGGTGCTCTTTTAATTGCTGGGAATATGATGATGAGCAAAACAGTCACGATCCTGCTCTTCTGAAGCTTATTTCCTTTATTCTCACTTAATTCCTCTTTTACATTCCAGGCTTTTTTTGAGTGCTTTGGCAGAATGTTTGAAAGTTTGAGTGTGAGGCTACCTGCACTTTATAGTGGGATTGTTTGAAATGTTTGAGGTGGTGAGAATTGAAATATGAAAGGCAGTTGGGGAGGTTTAAGATTGGTGAGAGAAACTGCTATTTCATAGTCAGAAAGGATTTGTGGAGATCCTCCTCTCTGTGCCTTCCAGGGACTAGTAGTGAGTGAATTAAAATGATTGCTTTGTAACCTAAACTTGGGTATCTTCAAATTACAAAACTTTTAGTAATAGGATTTTGTTTTAGAAACTTTTAAAGGATTTGTTGATCATATGTTTGTTAACTAGTTGTATCTTTTGATAACTTAAAAATTTTTTTTTTTCATTTACTTTTCAGTCTATTCTTATTCTGGGAACGAGCTTATGTGTTATAATCAGGTCTCTGTCTTCGTCGTTGGCTCTGGAGGATTTGGTGGAAATCAGACATCAGATAAAGTCAAGGTAGGCTGTGGCTTCTAAGCAAAATATATGTGTAGTTAAGGATCCTTATCTATATTTTGAATTTACCATTTTACAATATATTGTTGTAGCCACCAGCCCCCGAAAGACACATGGACCGCCAGAAATCAGTGAGTCATAGGAAACATGCTCTTTATTCAGCCAGCTGGGTCTGCCAGGGGTACGCAGACCCCAAATTAAGCAGCCCTGAAATGTAGAGATACAGTGTTTTTAAGCCCTAAATCCCATTCCTCATTCTGTCTTAAACACAAAGTTCTATTTTTCTCCTATTCACTACCTGTCAACCCACAGGTCAGGTGTGCAAGCGGGGGTACAGAAGCAGAAAGCTTATTGTTAGAATGTTATGTTCCCATGGGCGATAGCCTATGTTCCCATGGGCGATAGCCAAGCAATAATTTTCCAGCCAGCACAATATGTAATTTCATAGAGTAGAGCCTCAGTAATCTACATTTCTTTGAATCAGAATATGTTCCTTAGATTTGAAATGCTGTTTATGTTTGTATATTTTAACACATAATGTTTTATATAGAGAGACATCTAGCTGAGATAGGTATAATGTACCTGAGATAAGTGTGGGAATATTTTTACTTTCTTATGTAAACTTTGTAGTACTCAGAAGTCTTTAGAAAAACGTAGCACATACAAATAATTCTTGTAGAAATTAAAATCTTTATTCGTTAAAGAAAAGCATTTCGTTTATGTAAGGTAATTCTAGTTACATTTTAGTTCTCAAATTCTATTTAAAACATTTTTCCTAAAAAAATGTTTCATAACTTGGATATTACACTAATTTAACCTGGCTTTTGTCTAATTTATTTGAGGTAATAAGATTATATTGTAATAAATATTCTTCTGTAGTAAATGAAGTATTACTTAAAGCAATATTGAGAGACTATTTCTGGAATAATTGTGTGAGGAGTTCCTTGGACCCTCTCCTCAGTTAAAGAATGATAATTGGTGAAAATTATTTAAAAAAAATTAAAAGTCTTTGGAAAATGTCCCAAGGGAATTAGCAAATGAAACACCTATTCAAGAAGATCTGTATCTTAGTAAGAACAGTGAGAATCTGTGGAATTTGAGCCACATCACTCTCCTTCCACCCTCTTTCCATGGTTCAGCATGACAGAAGTTTCACTGCAGGCATGTGCAGCCAAAAATACGGGATTCCTCTGCCCTCAGCTCCCTGAATAGGGCCTTGCTATCTTCCCAGGAGGAACAGGTCGCTAGTTTTTCTTATTCTCCAACCAGCTTGTGTTGTAGAAGCTCTATTCTGGTTAAAAGTGTCTAAGAGTTATGGGGCTCTCTTCTTCTATCCAGCCCCCACTCATAGGGTAGAAAATCTGTTTTACCCATGACAGTCCGGGAATACTGGGGTCATGATCAATTTTGTCCCAGCTTGCTCATAGGGTGAGGGGTTCCATGCTGAGAGAGGCAAGCTGAGAATACCACAAGTTACTACCTCTGACCAGCACCCTTTTTGTAAAGTGAGGATGCCACTTGAAGAAAAGCAGGCCGCTATCTTTGCTGCAGTGGTGCAGAGTTTTTGTCCAAGGTGCAAAGCAGGCTATAATAATAAAGGATTCTGATGCTCTTTCCAAGGAAATTGACTCATTTTGTAATAGAGTATTTGGAAGTTCAAAAGTAAAGGTGCTCTCAAAAATGAGGTTACTTTAATGATAAAAAAATCAAGAGGAGTCTGGTAACTCCATGAGAAGAGTAAGTTAAACTAGCCCAACTCCTTTGCCTCCAATAAGAAGCTAATATCCAAAATATGTAAAGAACTCATAAAATTGAAAACAACAAAAAAATCCAGTTAAAAAATGAGCAGAGGACCTGAACAGACACTTCTCCCAAGAAGACATATAAATGGCCAACAGACATATGAAAAGATGCTCAACTTCACTAGCTTTTAAGAAAATGCAGATTAAAACCACAATGAGATACCACTTCACACCTGTTAGAAAGGCTGTCATCAACAAGACAAATAACAACAAGTGTTGGAGAGGTTGTGGGGAAAAAGGAACCCTTATACACTGCTGGTGGGAATGTAAATTGGTACAGCCACTGTGGAAAATAGTATGGAGGTTTCTCAAATTAAGAATAGAACTACCATATGACCCAGTAATCCTTCTTCAGGTTATCTACCCCAACCCCCCTCTCCCCCCAAATTAAAATATCCATAAAAATATATGCACCCCTATATTCATTGCAGCATTATTTACTGTGGCCAATACATGGAAACAACCAAAGTGTCCTTTGAATAGATGATTGGATAAGAGATAAGAGATTTGGTACATACATTCAGTGGGATGTTACTCAGCCAAAAGAAAAAATGAAATACTGCTATTTGTGACAATGTGGACGGATCTTGAGATTATGCTAAGCGAAATAAATCAGATGAAAAAAGTCAAGAACCGTATGATTTTGCTCATATGTGGGATATAAAACTGAAAGCAATGAACAGCTCATAGACACAACAGTATTGTGGTTTCCTGAAGGAAACGGGGGAGGAGGGAGGAAGAAAAGTATAAAGGGGGTCAAATATACGGTGACTGAAGGAGATTTGACTTTGGGTGGTGAGTACATAATGCAATATATAGATAATGCATTATTGCATATATAATTTTATTAACCAATGACACCGCAATAAATTTAATTAAAAAGTTTTATTGTAAAAAAAAACAAAACAAAAAACTAGCTCAACTTGAAGTTTACTAGAGAGAACTATAGAGAAACATCAAAGAAGAGCCCTCTAGTCATAACATACCTCTAAGAATGGCCTGAAAGACTAACCCTATAAAGAGGTCTGACTTTAATTGTATCAGACCTTGAGCAGTTTATGTCCCAAGGTATTGTTAAAAACAATAGAGCAATCATCTCCCACTTAGTGGAGCCAATAGCTGGGTATGATACCAAAAGAGGCAGACAGTTTAACATGTTAGGGAGAGACAGTCCTAGAGAGCCTTACTAAAACCATTGCATCTCAGGGTACAGCTTGCCCAAGGCTGCACACTGTGGGAGAAATAGACTTAACTAAAATAGTTTAGCCAAATTATTAAACCAATAAACAAGTTAATGACAACAAGCCCTGAAGGAGAAAGATTAATATCCAGAATTGTCCAATTATCAGCAGAAAATGACAAGACATGAAAGAGACAGGAGAGTGTGATCCACATAGAAAGGAAAAAAACAAACCAGGCAACACAAACTGCCTTTGGGAGGACTTAATGAACAGACATCGAAGCAACTGTTATAAATACGTTCAAAGCACTAAAGGAAATCATGCTTAAAGAAGTAAAGTATGATTACAGTGATTCATCAAGTAGGGAAAATCAATAAATAGAAATTATAAAAAAGATCCAAATAGAAGTTCAGGAGCTGAATGTATAATAACGGAAATGAAGAATTTCCTAGAGAGGCTCAACAGTAGTTTGAACTGGCAAACGAAAGAATCAAAAAGCTTGAAGATCTATTTCATCTGTGAATGTCTGTCTAAAGAACAGAAAGAAAGGGTGAAGGAAAAAGAAAAGAGTGAAGAGCCTCAGAGAAATGTGAGCTACCATCAAGTAATAGGGACCAGAATGGAAGGAGAGAGAAAGAAGCAGGAAAAAATAATTGAACTAATAATGGCTTTGATGAAAAACGTTAATCTACATATCCAAGAAGCTCAACCAACTCCAGAAAGGCCATAAATGCAAAGAGATCCACACTCTTAGTAAAGTGCGTTTAAAGATCAATTTAGATGTGAATTGTTTATTGAATTTTTATAGCTGT